GGTGCAGAAGAAATCAGAGATCCCGGGATTCCACCGCTCCTTCAAGGTAAGGGGCTGCTCCCCGCCCCCACGGAGATGTTCGGGGGGGGCTCTGGGGGGCTCCGGGGTGCGGGCAGGGTTGGGGTTCGCCCGCAGCGCTGCATCCCCTGCCCGGGGGTGGAGGGGCCCGGCCGCTTCCTGCCCCATCCCCGGCACCCCCCGAAACTGAGGGGCTCTGGGGGCGCTGCCACCCGAACCGAGCGGCGGGACCCCCCTGTCCCCCCGTGCCAGGGGTCGCGGTGCTCCCGGCGGTTGGGTCCGTGTCCCCCCCACCCCCCGCCGGTGGCGCTGGGATGCTGCGGCTCCCACGGTGATCCCCCGTAGGTGGGGGGCTGCACCCGTTCGATGGGGGGTAGGGGTGGTCTCAGGGCTCCTCAGGCCCGGCCCGGTGGGGCCGTGCGAGGGTCGATCCCGCCCAGCCCGGGATGCCCCAGGCACCCCAAGCCCGGGCCCGTCACCCCCCGCACCCTCCGTCACTGTCACCTCGGGGTGTTGGGGGGTCCCCGCGGTCCCGCTTCGTTCGGTTCCCCCCTCCTCGTTCGGTTCCCTGAGCCGCTTCCCGGCTGCGGGTTGGGGGGACCTTTGTTCGGTTTCGCTCCGGTTCAGGGGTGCGGGTGGGACCCCCAGCCCGCCCCCTTATTGCAGCGACCCCCGCTCCTGCTCGTGTGGCCTCTGACCGGTTTGTGTACCCCCGCGGCGGCCGGGGATAGAGTGGGGGGACACCTCGGCCGTGCTGATGGAGCCGGTGCTGATGCAGCCTCCCATCCCCCAGACCTTTGTGTAGCAGTGCTGCGGCAGCTGGCAGGGCCCCCTGCCCCTGTGCCCCCCTGTGCCCCCCCAGTCCCCCCGCACACCCCGTACCCCTCCCGGCGGCCCCGGCCCCCCCATCCTGCCGGGGTTCGTCCCGGGGGCAGCGGCTGCGGGGCGATGCTGCGCTCCCCAAACCCCGGGTTTGAGGGGGGAAATGCTGACAAAATGCAGCACCGGAGAGTTTGGGGCCCGGAGATCCAAAGTGGCGCTTKGTGGGAGTGCTCCTGGTGTGAACCTTCCCCCTCCCCGTTCCGGCTGGGGACCCCCGGCCCCTCCAGGGCTGCCGTAAACAGGCGCCTTCTGGGTGTTTCTGGCGGTGGCCGGGGCTGGCCGTGCTGGGGCTGGCAGCYGGCCCGGGCACCGGGCGGGTTTGGGAACGCCGCTGGAGCTGCCACCTCCACCCAAACATTTCATAATCCTGGGGAGGACGGGGCCCTTTCGCCCCCGGCGCTGCCCCGTCCCATGGGKTGGCTCAGGRGAGCAGGAGGCAGAGWGTCCCCGTGTCCCCTCGGGTGTCGCTGGGATTGGGGTGGGGAAGGAGTGGGTCCCCTCTGTGGATCCCGGGGTGCAGCAGGGTTTGGGGTGAGGCCTGACCCTGCCGGTTTGGGGCTGTCCTGCAGCCCGACGAGCGCGATGACCACCGGAGCAGAGCAGAGCAGGCTCCGGCCACCGTGACCTTGTGGGGAGCTGGGAGGACACGGAGGGGTGGCTCTGGAGCCCGTCCTGCCCTGTGGCTTCTCTTCCTCCCCCTCCTGCCTCGCTGCAGTTCAGGTCTGGGTGGAGATTAGGGGTTGGGTTGGTGCGGGTGGCCGCGGTCCCTCTCATCATCCCCCGCGTGTTGGCCTAGGGCTGGCTGGAGGAGCGGCCCCACAGCCCTGTCCCCAACAGGAGATGTGGTCAAAGCCTTCCCCCTCCTCCTCCTCATCCTCAGGCTCTCCCTGGAGCTGTGCCGTGTCCCTCCATGGGCTGGGACGTGCAGAGCGGGGCTGAGCAGAGCGTGACCCCGGAGCTGGAGTGCGCTGGGCTCGGGGTGGCAGCCGGTGGTGGCTGATCCAGCAGCTGCCACCTCATTGCTGCTCTTGGTTCCCACAGGGACAAAACCCTTTTGACCTGGAGTTCGACCAGTCCAACCACCTGGAGCCCGTCTTCAACTTCGAGTGCCCGCCCCGTCCCGGTGAGTCGCGGGTGCTGCGGGTGCCTCCTGGGGCTCCTCCCCTCCTGCCCCGGGGATTTTGGCCGTTTGCCCTCCCTGGAGGCTTTGGGGGCTGCCCCGGCCATGCTGGGGGAGCTGTGGGTGGGCAGGGATGGCTGACAGTGGTGGCTTTGCTCTGGCACAGACATGCCTTCAAGTCAACCCATCGACATCCCCGACGCCAAGAAAAGGAACAAGAAGAAGAAGCGCTGCAGAGCCACCGACAGCTTCTCCGGCAGGTTCGAAGGTGAGCGGGGCTGCCCRGGGACCCTGGGAGCAGGGCTGGGCCCTCCCGGTGTCCCCAGGCTCAGGTGGCCTCTCCCYTGCCAGATGTTTACCAGCTGCAGGAGGAGGTGCTGGGAGAAGGGGCCCACGCCAGAGTCCAGTCCTGCGTGAACCTCATCACCAACAAGGAGTACGCGGTGAAGGTAAAGCTCTGCCCCTCCCCTCCCACCCCCTGCCTCAGTTTCCCTTCTGTCTCCACACCTGGGGCTCTCCCAGCTCCCAGAACCACCCGATGCTGGCCCAGGATCGTGGCTGTGTGGGCTGGGGGGAAGGAGAGAGGCAGGAGTGCAGCAGGGCTGGGCTGTGCCCGTGGCACACCGACCTCTGCCACCACCCAGCTCCGGGTCCTCGGTGCCCCTCCTACGCCACRCTGCTCTCCCCGTTCATAAGGATGCACGGGAGACTAAATTAACCCTTGGGATGTGTTGGGGACCTGGGACAGACAGGGGCACTTGGTGCTGCCAGGGTGGGGTCATCTCCTGCTCGCCCCAGGGATGGCTCTGTGACTCTGTGAGCGTGTGGGTGCTGGAGGGGGTTGGGGTGAGCCAGCTGCTTTTGGGGTCAGGGTTGGTGGTCCCGTGGCCCTGCACCCCACAGACTCTGAGCTGCGGCATGAGGGTGCCATGTGTCAAAATGTGACAGGCTCTGTCAGCAAATGCCAGGCGAACTCGGCTGCCCCCATCGTTTCACGGGAGCCTTTGGGTGCCCCGGTGGGGACGCTGAGGCAGCAGGCAGGGCTGTGTGGTGCTGGGGTGCTCCGTGTGCCCCAAAGGACAACGGGAGCACCCATCTGCCCTTCCCTGTGTGGGGGTGTCCCCCTGTCCACCCTTGGCACGGCCACCAAGCCCCGCTGTGCCAGCGCCCAGTGGGGCGAAGGGCCCTTTGCTGCTCCGCTGCTCTGGCGTCACGTGGAGCTCTCTTGGCCCCGGCCCCGGGAGGGAGCGGCTTGGCACGGCTGCTGCCGCTTGGCACCGGCGCCGGGAACAGCCTGTTCTGCCGCCTTAACCCCGGCGGGCTCCGCTGCCCCCGCCCGGCCCCGCGGGTCCCCGCTCTGGYGGGGCAGGGGTGCCCCGGCCCCTCCCTGGCAGCGCTGCCTCTCCCTCAGCCTCCCCTCGTTTTCCCTCCAGATCATCGAGAAGCGCCTGGGACACATCCGGAGCAGGGTTTTCCGGGAGGTGGAGATGCTCTATCAGTGCCAGGGACACAGGTACGGCCGGGCAGCTGCTGCATCCCCGCACTGCGGGCACGGGGAGGGGGCTGAGACCCCTCTGGTGATGCTCATGATGCCCATGGGGCACAGCCAGGCCGCCCTCTGCCCCACGCTCCCTCCCCTTGGCCCTGTTAGCCGCGGTGGAGCACCCACAGGGGACGTTCAGTGGTTTGCCATGACAACGAGGGCCACCGTGGCCAAGTTGGAGCAGAGCCGAGGGCAGAGCCGAGCCCCTGCTGCTGAGCGGGGCTGCGTGTGGGGCTGCGTGTGGGGCGGGCAGGCGAGCCAGGAGGGGCTGTGAGCAATTAGGGAGGAGCAGAGCCGGGCGCTGCAAGCACCTCTCCCCCCTGGAATGCAGCCGGGGGGCCCTGGCCGTGTGGTTTCAATCACTGCAAACCCAGATTTCTCATCCTGCATCCCCACCGGGGTCCTGTGCTGGCTGCGGGCGTGGGGCCTGTGGGGCGGGGGACCCCAGGAGGTGTTTTTGGGGTCGCCGGGCTGATGMCGTGGTCCCTGCAGGAACGTCCTGGAGCTGATCGAGTTCTTTGAGGARGAGGAGAGGTTTTACCTGGTGTTTGAGAAGATGAGGGGAGGTGAGTGCGGTGCCGGGGTGGGGGCACTGGAGGCAGCAGGACCCCCCYGAGCTGCAGCTCTGCTCTTGCCCGGCCGCAGGCTCCATCCTGACCCACATCCACCGGAGACGCCACTTCAACGAGCTGGAGGCCAGCGTGGTGGTGCAGGATATCGCCAGTGCCCTGCACTTTTTGCACAACAAAGGTGAGCTGGGGTGCCCCAGGTGGCACTGGGGACAGCCTGGGGTGCGCTGGGCCCTCCCGGGGGTGTCACTGCCTCCCCCCTGTCCTCCTGCCCAGGGGACAGTGCCCGTCCCAGCACACAGGGCCAGCCCCAGCTGCATCACAAGGTTTTTTGTGGTGTGGATCCTGTTTGTCCGGTTCGGTCGGGACTCGGGGCCAGCAGCAAATTTTGCCYTTTGCCAGGGTGCAGGCAGTGATTTGGGGTGGGGAGGGAGGGGTCCCYGTGCCACCCCCTGACCTTACACTATGGTGATCTTGTAGGAGGGGGATTTTTCCCCTCATTGGCTTTTCTGCCCCCAGGGATTGCACACAGGGATCTGAAACCAGAAAATATCCTGTGTGAGAGCCCGGACCAGGTGAGCGGGGAGCAGCCGGGGTGGGTGCAGGGTGTGCTGCCTGGGGGGCTGGGCACAGTGGGGTGATTCCTGGAGTGGAGTGCACGAGAGTCCTGCCAGGGACACAAACACACCTTAGGTCCTGCCAGGGACACCYCCATATGCCACAGCACAGCATGGTGTGAAGCATGACACGAGGTGGCATTGAGCAGCTGTGGCTCGGGAGCTGGGCTGTGGTCCCCGGGGGGCTGCCGGCTGTGGTGCCCGGAGGGTGCCAAGGGGGTCACAGAGCACTCCTTCCTCCTCTCCAGGTCTCCCCAGTGAAGATCTGCGACTTTGACCTGGGAAGTGGCATCAAACTGAACGGCGATTGCTCCCCCATCTCCACCCCGGAGCTGCTCACCCCGGTAAGTGTCCGAGCCCCCACTTTGGGGGAGGGTCTGTCCCCCCAGCTGCCCCGCAGGCTCAGAGCACAGGGCCAGGCATGCACACCCCCTGCTCGTCGCTGCTGATGCTGCGCGTCCCCCGCCCCCCCGCCGTGCAGGCGAGATGCGGTTACATAACGCGGGGGGGCCGGGGGCTGGCGCAGAGCCCGGGCTGCCGTGAGCCTTAGCAACAGCCCGAGCAGCCGCGGCGGCTGCGCCGAGCCTGCCGGGGAGAACTGGGTCAGCGGCGGGGCTGGGGGCCCGGGGGGGCTTCCCCGGCTCGTGCGGAGGAGAGGGGGCTGAGCCGCCGGGCTGCGGGGGCGCGGGGCGGGGCGGACACCCCCGGAGCTCCCGGCTGTCCCCGTCTGCTGCGGAAAGCCCCGCTCCCCTTATCGCCAGCCGCAGGTACCCCCCCGTGCTGGGTATCGCCTGCACCCCGAGATTTTTGGAGTGCGAACACGCCGGGTAGGGCAGAGCCCCGCTCCTGTAGGGTTCACAACAGCAGGGGCGGAGGCCAGAACACCCCAGCYCCCTCCTTCCTCCATCGCCCTCCTCCCGGGGCGGAGTTGCTGAGGTGCACCGAGTCTCCCCGTTCTCAGCCGTCGGGGGCGGAGCGGGACGGCCGCTCCATTCCCACCGGGATCGGGACGGCGGGGGGTTGTTTTTCTGCGGTGGCATCAGCTGCTGGGGCTGGAGAGGCCCCTCGTCGGGAGGCCTCTCTCGTTACGGGGTGATTATCTGCTGGCTGCAGCTCTTTTCTCCCTGGTCACGAGGCCTGTGTGGGCTGCGGGTCATGTGCTGGAAAGCCCCAGAGTCCCTGGAGCGATAGGGGAATGGGGCCGCTGGCTCTGCCTCTCCCTGCACCAGGGTTAACTCCTCCCGCACCGGCAGCTCCGCCTGTCGGGCTGGGAACGGGCCGGGAAACAGGCAGAGTCAGCCCGGGGAACAGGCGGAGCAGGCTCGTYCCACMGTGTCCCGTGGTCGCTCCCAGGCTYTGGGGCTGCCCYGCTGAGCCGGTTGGGTGGTGACGGTGCTGYGGGTCCTGTGGGTCCGGCTGTCCTGCACCGTGGGGGTTGCACCCTTTAGGCTTTATTTTTTTTTTCCCTTCGGGGTGGCAGCTGCTGTTCGGTGATCCCAGAGGGGTGGGTCTGTGGGAAACCCAGCAGGGAGATGTGGCAGGAGCAAACCCAKGGAGTGGCTGTGTCTGCAYSTTCCCTTCAGAGGTGCAGCCCCATRGCTCGGGCAGGATCCTCCCTGTCCCCTCTGCCCCGTGGGTCCCCACCCTTCGGGGCTCACCCCACCTGTCCCCACAGTGCGGCTCGGCCGAGTACATGGCCCCGGAGGTGGTGGAAGCCTTCAACGAGGAGGCCTCCATCTACGACAAGCGTTGTGACCTGTGGAGCCTGGGTGTCATCCTGTACATCATGCTGAGCGGGTACCCCCCCTTCGTGGGYCACTGCGGCTCCGACTGTGGCTGGGACCGGGGCGAGGCGTGCCACACCTGCCAGGTGCGTGGGGACCCCGGCAGCGCCCAAACCCATGCCCGGTTTGGCAGCAGCGCTCCTGGCTGAGCCCCAGTTATTTCTCCTCTGCTCAGAACATGCTCTTTGAGAGTATCCAGGAGGGGAAGTACGAGTTTCCTGACAAGGATTGGGCACACATCTCCTTCGGAGCCAAAGACCTCATTTCCAAGCTGCTGGTGAGAGATGCCAAGAAGCGGCTCAGTGCAGCCCAGGTCCTGGAGCACCCCTGGGTGCAGGGGGTGAGTGTTGGTGCCCCATCTCTGCTCTGCTCCTGAAAGCYGGGGTGGGGAACACCCCTCTGCACAATTCCTGGCTCTGACCAGCTGCATTTTATTGCAGTGTGCCCCGGATAACACCCTGCCAACCCCAATCATCCTGCAGAGGTGAGTGTGGGTGGTCCTGGGACACACCCCCAGCCCCCTGAATCCTGACTCCACTCCTCAGCACTGCTGTCCATTCCTTCTGCTTTTTGGGGGCTTTGCCACAACTCTCTGTCCTCTCTGTCTGCCAGTCCTTCCACATTTGGTTTGGGTTTGAGCCACATTTTTGGTGTCTGAGCAGTCTGGCATGGCCAGCATGTGAGGAGGGACACACGGATATTTGACCCCAACCTCCCTCCAGCCCCCCACATCCCCCCTGAGCCCGTGCCTCCCCTGCAGGAACAGCAGTGCCAAAGAGCTCACSTCCTTTGCCGCCGAGGCCATCGCTGTCAACCGCCAGCTGACGCGGCACGATGAGGACGAGGAGGAAGAGGTGGAGGAGGAAGCACGACCCATCATCATCAAAGCTACCTCACGGGCCATGCAGCTCTCCCCCCCCTCCGAGTCCAAGCTGGCCAAGCGGCGGCAGAAGAGCAGCCTGGCCAAGGCAGTGGCCGCCGGGCAGCACCTGGTGGCCCCACTGGTCCTGGTGGCCGACCAAGCCTGAGTGGTGTCCCTCGCACCTGCTGTACCCCATGTCCCCTCTTCTCCTCCTTTCTTTCTTCCCCTTTCCCCCCCGACCCCACCGTTTCTGGCTAGTGACAAGATCAGGACTCGTCCCTGTGGCTGGTTTCCAAGGTTTTGCTGATCTTGTAGGTCTGGGGGTGGGAGGGTTTGTTTAAGATCTTTTTTTTTTTTAAGGTATTAAATCAAGCGTGAGGTTGCTTCACCCAGGGCACACTCAAGGACATCTGACAGACACACGGACTTTTGTTTCCCGACTCTTGGTTTCTCYTCTGACATTTTCCCTGCTCCCCGACACCAAAGGACTCTTTGTATCCGCGGCTGCTTTGACGATTTCAGCTCATTTCATACTGTGAACAAAAGACCCTCGGTCGCGTTTTCAACAACGGGAGCTGCGTTTTAACCTCGCCCCTCCCCTCGGAGCTGCAGGTTTCTCTCCGATGTTGGGGTAGATCCCACAAAACCCCTTACCTGGGGGTCCGGGAGGCACCTCCCGAGTGTGGGGGGAGTGGGGAGCCCCTCCGTCCCGTGCTTGGGGGTGTCCCCGGCTCTGCTTCAGGGAGACGTGGTGGGCGTTGTGCAGGGAACCGCTCGGGCTGGGGAGAGAYGGTGCCAGTGAGGAGCAGTGCTGGACCCCCTGAGCCACCCTCTCCTCAGCATCCTGCTTCCAGAATAAGCTATTCACCCCTTTTTTTTTTTTTTTTTCCTTTTTTTAACAAAAATTATTGTTGGTTTTACACTGCCAGCTGTGCTTCTCTACAGGGCACGGACAAATGTCTTCCTTTCCTCCCACTCTCCGGCTGGCGTCTCCCCGGGGGATGCACRAGCATCCAGGGCTGTGCTCTTGTGCCAGGTCAGGTGTTGCACCCTCGTYTTTGGAAGGGCTGGTGGTCGTGTCCTCTTGGAGGTGCAAGGGGGGATGAGGTGTTCAGGGTGACCAGAGCAACCAGAAGCACCCTCTGGGAATTTGTGCTCTGTGGAAAGCAAGGACCCCCTTACAGGGCATCAGGACCTGCTGCAGGACAGTGATGCCTGCTGTGGCCTCGGGCTGGCCCTGAGGCTGCCGTGGCAGGAGGGTCTGAGGGCACAGAGGGTGCCCAGTGCCCTGGGGATGCCAGTGGGTGAGCAGCCACGATGGGGGCAGCACCCAAGAGCCACAGTACAGGGGAGCAGCCTGGGGACAGCTCGGGATGTGGGGCTGGTAGGTTTATGGTCAGGGTGTGCAGTGGCTGAGGAGCGCTGGTTGTGCATGTACATCCATGCTCACGTGTGTTCAGGCGTGCACAGCATTGCCCTTTCCATGGAGCTTGCTTTGGGGTGGGAAGGACTTGGGATGCTGAGTTGGCACGAGCCCCTTGGCTGGTTTCTGGGTTTGTCCAGGCGGTGTCCTCGCTTGTGGCCGGATGGGCCCCCAGCTGTCCCCAATGCCTCATATCCCCCCCGACAGCCCCTGCTCCCTGCCACAGGCACAGCCACCCGCTGCCAGCCCCCATCCTGCTGGGAGGGCAGTGCCCCTGTCATTGCCACCTCCTGTCCCTTCCAACTCACTGCTTGGAGCTTTATATTTTGCAAAAGCAGCCTCGGCCCATCGCATGCACAGGTGAGGGTTTGGGAGCTCTGAGCTGGGGAACAGACTTCCCTGGGTCTTCAGCTGAAGACAGTCGCTGTCTCTGGGAAAAAAAAAAAAAAGAAAGTTCTCCTTTTTATTTTAAGACTGCTGACAGCAATACTATGCAATATATGTTGTTTTTTGTTTCAGGGAGGTGTGTGTGAGTTATCTTGGGAGATGATGATCTCGGGTGTTGATGGAGTTTAGGGCAGGGGCCGTCTTCTTTCACCCTTCCCAGCCTTTYTGCTGACTCAGGGGGTCGGGGAGGACGACTCCATCTGCATCCCACCCCCCAAATCTCCCTCTCCCGTGTATGCCCCCGGTCCCACTGCACCGGGTGGGGAGGAGCAAGGCAGTGGTGAGGGGAGACCCCTCCCCTACAGGCACCGGGACACCCCAGAGAGGCCTCCTTTAACAGAAAGAAAAAAAAAATCCATCTTGATTGTACATTGTTACTTTCTATAGCTTATTTTGTTTTATCAGTTGTAGATAATTCCTTGTTGTCTTATATTAAGAAATACTTGAATGATGTACAGTACGCGATGCCTTGAGCTGGTATTGTGAAGCTATYGTTGATGCTGCACGCCGCAGCCTTTTTTTAAAAAACAAAACAAAAAAATCACGGGAAGGGGATGGCAGGGGGATGTCTCCAGAATTTATCTGTCCCCCGTGCTGCTTTTGTTGGCAAACTGAATTTCCCCTTTTTCCCCACGTGTAAGAGTGATCTTTTATATCTATATTATATATAAATACACCACACACTCTGGGGAAGGCCTGGGTGACCCTGCCCATGTCCCGTGGGTGTCCTCGGCTTGGGATGTGCAGCCAGAAGATGCTGTKGGAGTTTGTGGGAGTTGGAGGATGTGCCAGGGAGCATCCGAGCCTGGCTGGGGCTTGGCTTTGCTTTTTGGATGGGGTTTGGTTTGGACCCGGCGCTCCTGGTGTGGCACTCGGGGGTGACCCGTGGCTGGGGCTGTGCATTGGTAGAGAATCTTTAAATGCCTCTAGAGCCAGGGATCAGCTCTGGAAAGCCTCCAACCTGGCTCATGGCAGCACTGGGCACTCAAAGGTGCCCTGTCAGGGCAGGGCTCAGGCTGGGATGGCAGAGGAGACACTCGTGCCAGGGCCAGACATGCCCTCCCCGCTGCTAGCACCTCTCCCGGGGCGGTTTCCAGACAGATGCTCCCGTGGTTCAACACCAGCGACCCCCTCTTGCCAACACCCTTCTTCCTCCTCTTCCTCTTTCCAAGCTTTCTCCCCCATAGAGCATCTATCTTGGAAACCAACTTCAAAAAGTTTTTTGTTTTTTTTTTTTAAGCTGGAAATTTTAAGTGTTTTCGCTTCCTCTCCTTCCCCCCTCCTTCCTCCAGCCAACTAACTCGACTTAGAACTGGTTAGAAACGTTTACTGTGAAGCTAACTCTTTTATCAAACCAGGAGAAACTTTCTCCACTTTACAATTGATGAAGACTGCCAAAGCTGGTTCGACAAGAGTCACGTTAACGCACTGTTGGTTTGTGCAACAGCAGCCTCTGCACGGGGGCTG